CGCCCAGCAGCAGCCGAGCTGGAAGCCTGCTGCAGCCTCATCTCCTCCCTCCTCTATTGAGAGTGCCAAGCAGCAGTCCTGCATCCTAAAGAAGCCCATTGAAGAGCCCATTGCATTCTCTGCACGTCTCAAGCTAGCTTTTTAATTTATTTTTTTAGGGCCGCCTCCCCTCTTCTCTACCCCCCCCCCCAGCTCCAGCTTCAGCAAGACTAGGCTCGGTAAGAGAGAAACCTTAAACTCAAGCTTTGTTTTTGTTGCTGTTTGTTTTTTAGTTCCTTTCCATAGTCAGTGCTGAGAAACAAAAATTAAAAACCAAAATGCAAACCTCCTGCAAAATAGGTAAGTCAAATATGCCTGCAGCCTGGCTGCTTAAAGCCCAGAGATGTGAAAACCAAGAAAAACATTTTCTAGAAATGGTGAGGATGTATGTAAGTAGATCCTAACATTTTACGAGGAAGCCAAGGGAAAACCAAGTGATACTGTGATGTGCCCTCATCTGCTTTCTCTGTCTCTCTCTCTCTTTTTTTTTTCATTTAATTGTTTCTAAAAATTGACTATTACATGCCGGAGGCAGATTCCACTTTGCTTTCTCAAGAGTTTCTCCTTGCAGCTGTGTTCATGATATGCCAGTGGAATGTAAAGATAGATTCTTCCCACTTTTCTATAAATTATCTCCTTGTGTTCTTTGGGTTTCAAGTTAAGGAATATTTCATTGATGTATGTATCGTGTGTGGAGAGAAAACTTATGTAGGGGACTCTAATTTATTTTTATTGATTAAATTCAACTGTTTAAATTCAATTGATATTTCACTGACTCGGGAAGGACAATGTAATAAAACCGGAACATTATGATGTATTTATGCACATGCTTTTCTATGTTGATGACACCAAGCAAAGCAAGAAAACCTTTGATGAAGGCACTGTATGTTTCCAGAATAGAACACTGGACCCATATCTTCTCATTGGAAAAAAATAAATGTCTTTTTTTTTCACAAATTGGATAATTTGCAGCAAGAATTGAGGTCCCCCCCCCATTACAGCCTTTTACTACCTACTTCTCTTCTAAGCAGCTCCTGTCTCCCTACAGCATTTTATGGTTCCTCAGTTGATCCCCAAAGCACAGACTCACTCTAAGATGAGCTCTTCCAAGTGTTTTGCTTCAGACACTCCCAGGCTTAGCGACCTTTAGCTGTCACTATCTTTAGCTCTGACAATTGCATGGGCTTATTCTTCAGAGTTCAGAGATCTCATCACTCCTAATGCCTTAAACAGCAAATGCTTTAAACAGCTATGTAGAGACTCTTTGTTTAACTAAAGATTTACATTTTCTGTGCTTGGGCAGAAGGGGTTATGGGTTGAGTATGGAATTGGGCACACAAGGTATTTAAGGAGCTTTTCGTGGTTCCTTAAAAGAAAACTTAAGTGTTCTTTTATTATTATTATAACAATATTTCACATCTCAACATCTGATATTGGGCAATAAGGTTCACTTTTTCATTCTCTATATCTTTTGGTTACATCATGTTTGTTTGTTTTTTAATAGTAAATGTGTACAATTTGAAAAACACTCCTTTCTCCTTTAATTTCCAATAAGATTTTAAATGGGGAATCTTAGTTTAAAGAGAAAAGCAGGTATATTTACGGAGCCATTGCCTTTATTGCTGAATCTGCCTATGCCAAGGCCGAGTCAGAGTTCCAATTCTGTTGTTTTTATAAGAGGAAGTCAGAGCAAGCTGCTTTTGTTCATGTCACATAATACTGAACAGGGCTTGGTTCAGAAAAATGTCACTGTGTGTTGCAATATGTCAGTCTCTTAAATTGAAAATACAGGGAACACCTTAAACATTAAACATGTTGCTGTCTCATTTGGAATATCAGTTCAATACCTGCTGAGGTTTTCGAACCACCCTTGTTTGGTTTTGCTTGTTTGTTTGTTTCTGTTTTTCTTAATAAAACAGTTGTAGGAATCCATTAGAGTAGTACAAAAGCTAAAAATCTGCATCTTTATTTCTATTGCAGTTTTCTAATCAGCCACGAATGATGAAGCTGTCCATAGCTGAGATGCTTCACAGAGGGAGGATGCTGTGGATAATTCTTCTAAGCACAATTGCTCTAGGATGGACTACCCCAATACCCCTGATTGAGGACTCAGAGGAAATAGATGAGCCCTGTTTTGATCCATGCTACTGTGAAGTTAAAGAAAGCCTCTTCCACATACATTGTGACAGCAAAGGATTTACAAACATTAGTCAGATTACTGAGTTCTGGTCAAGACCTTTTAAACTGTACCTTCAGAGGAATTCAATGAGAAAATTGTACACCAATAGTTTTCTTCATTTAAATAATGCTGTGTCCATTAACCTTGGGAACAACGCATTGCAGGACATTCAAACTGGCGCTTTTAATGGTCTTAAGATTTTAAAGAGACTATATCTCCATGAGAATAAATTAGATGTCTTCAGAAATGACACCTTTCTTGGTTTAGAAAGTCTGGAATACCTGCAGGCAGACTACAATGTCATTAAACGTATAGAGAGTGGGGCATTTCGGAACCTAAGTAAATTGAGGGTTTTAATTTTAAATGATAATCTCATTCCTGTACTTCCAACCAATTTATTTAAGGCTGTTTCTTTAACCCATCTGGACCTACGTGGAAACAGGTTAAAGGTTCTCTTCTACCGTGGAATGCTAGATCACATTGGCAGAAGTCTGATGGAGCTCCAGCTGGAAGAGAACCCTTGGAACTGCACCTGTGAGATCGTGCAGCTGAAGAGTTGGCTGGAACGAATTCCTTACACAGCCCTGGTGGGAGACATCACCTGTGAGACACCTTTCCATTTCCATGGAAAGGATCTTCGTGAAATCAAGAAGACAGAACTCTGTCCTTTGTTGTCAGATTCTGAGGTGGAGGCCAGTCTGGGAATTCCCCACTTATCATCAAGCAAGGAGAATGCCTGGCCAACTAAACCTTCCTCAATGTTGTCCTCTGTCCATTTTACAGCATCTTCTGTTGAATATAAGTCCTCTAATAAGCAACCAAAACCCACCAAACAGCCCCGAACACCCAGACCACCATCTACGTCCCAGGCTTTATATCCTGGTCCAAATCAACCTCCCATTGCCCCCTATCAGACCAGACCACCCATTCCCATTATATGTCCTACTGGGTGTACATGTAATTTGCATATCAATGACCTTGGCTTGACTGTCAACTGCAAAGAACGAGGATTTAACAACATCTCTGAACTCCTTCCAAGGCCCTTGAATGCTAAGAAGCTCTACCTGAGCAGCAATCTGATTCAGAAGATATACCGCTCTGATTTTTGGAATTTTTCTTCTTTGGATCTCTTGCACCTGGGGAACAATCGAATTTCTTATGTCCAGGATGGTGCTTTCATCAACCTGCCCAACCTGAAGAGTCTCTTTCTCAATGGCAACGATATCGAAAAGCTGACACCAGGTATGTTCCGAGGTCTACAGAGCTTGCATTACTTGTACTTCGAATTCAATGTCATCCGGGAAATCCAACCTGCAGCCTTCAGCCTCATGCCCAACTTGAAGCTGCTATTTCTCAACAATAACTTGCTGAGGACCCTGCCAACTGATGCCTTTGCAGGTACATCCCTGGCTCGGCTCAACTTGAGGAAGAACTACTTCCTCTACCTGCCAGTAGCTGGCGTCCTTGAACACTTGAATGCCATTGTGCAGATAGATCTCAATGAGAATCCCTGGGACTGCACTTGTGACCTGGTCCCCTTTAAGCAGTGGATCGAAACCATCAGCTCAGTCAGTGTGGTAGGTGATGTACTCTGTAGGACCCCTGAGAACCTCACCCACCGTGATGTGCGCACTATTGAGCTGGAAGTTTTATGCCCAGAGATGCTGCATATTGCACCACCTGGACCATCCCCACCACAGCCTGGAGATTACCACCCTAACGGGGGACCAACAAATGCATCACCTTATGAGTTCTCTCCTCCCGGGGGCCCTGTGCCACTTTCCGTGTTGATTCTCAGCCTGCTGGTACTGTTCTTCTCAGCTGTCTTTGTTGCTGCAGGCCTCTTTGCCTATGTGCTCCGGCGGCGTAGGAAGAAGCTGCCCTTTAGAAGCAAGCGGCAGGAAGGTGTGGACCTTACAGGAATCCAGATGCAATGTCACCGACTGTTTGAGGACAGTGGGGGCAATGGTGGTGGGAGTGGAGGTGGAGGTCGACCGACTCTGTCCTCTCCAGAGAAAGCACCTCCCGTGGGTCATGTATACGAGTACATCCCCCACCCAGTTACCCAGATGTGTAACAACCCCATTTACAAGCCTCGAGAGGAGGAAGAAGTGGCTGCCTCAGCAACCCAGGAGACAGGAGCCGCAGAACGTGGATGTCCTGGGACACAGCCTCCAGGAATGGGTGAGGGGCTCTTAGGAAGTGAGCAGTTTGCAGAAACACCCAAGGAGAACCACAGTAACTATCGGACCTTGCTGGAAAAAGAAAAGGAGTGGGCCCTGGCGGTTTCCAACTCCCAGCTCAACACCATTGTGACGGTGAACCATCACCACCCTCACCCTCACCACTCGACAATTGGTGGGGTTTCAGGGGTAGGTGGAGGGACTGGGGCAGACTTGGCTGGGTTCCGCCACCATGAAAAGAATGGTGGGGTGGTGCTGTTTCCCCCTGGGGGAGGTTGTGGTGGTGGCAGTATGCTGCTAGACCGTGAGAGGCCACAGCCTGCTCCATGCACAGTGGGATTTGTGGACTGTCTCTATGGCACAGTGCCCAAATTAAAGGAACTACATGTCCACCCCCCTGGCATGCACTATCCAGACTTGCAGCAGGACGCCAGGCTCAAAGAAACCCTTCTCTTCTCAGCTGGAAAGGGCTTCACAGACCACCAAACCCCCAAAAGTGATTACCTCGATTTAAGGGCCAAACTTCAAACTAAGCCGGATTACCTCGAAGTTCTGGAGAAGACAGCATACAGGTTCTAACAGAAGAAAGAGAATAAATTAGTGGCTTTGTTTTGATTTTTCAAAGGAAAAGGAAAAAAAAAAAAAGAAATATATCCCCGGCTCCCACTCTACTTGTCCCAATAACTCCATCCTCACAGTCTCCCCTGCCCAGGACAGAACTGAAACGCATGATATCTAGAGAATACAGAAGTGGGCTTCTCCCTCTCAGATGTGATTTTGAGGAAGGGCCGTACTCAGATCATTAATCAATGAAGTGCCTTCGCAGACTTTTGCCAGCAAATGTTACCATTATTTTTTATACTGAAACTCGAGACTTTGACTGTGCCATGTGTGAGGTATATCGGGGATCGTTGTATTGATCCTAATTGAGTAAAATTCAATATGTCTTTTTATTTTCAGTAACTTTTATTCCCTTTAGTTACAGTTTTGTTTGAAAGGGAGGGGGGGAGGTTGACATTTATGGCTTTCTCTCCTGTTCCCATCATGGCACAGATTCTGTACATGTATTAACAATGCAGTTTGCTGCATGCTTGAAAACTGCAGGATGGGGAGGGAGGGGCGGGTCTTGCTCGAATGTTCTCACCCTGTTGTCTCTCACACACATATTCATGTGCACACAGCAAACCTCTCCATATACTTAGGTCCCTCAGTCTTAACTGGGTTCGGTATACAACACACACACACACACACACACACACACACACACACACACCTCCCATCCAACTTAATCTGCTTAGTTCGGGTTTGATCCATGTTTTCCTCTCCATGGCTCCACGTGCCCTTCACTCCTAGTGTACAGCTCCGAGCGTCTCTCCTACCACCCTGGGAAAAGTCACATTCGAGGCTGGATCCTACTGAAGTGAAGGCTTGTTGGTTTAACAGCTGGAGACACGCCTAGGGATGAGAATCCCTCCTTGTGACCTTTCATCCTGATGCCAAGATTTTTTGAGAACATCTGCACTTTCTTATATATATATATATGATATTCAAAAATAAAAAAGCAACTGGGTATATATCACTAACAGCTTTGTAGGCAGCACTTTTAATGTTTTCTCTCTCTCACACACAAAGATCAAAAAGAAATGTGCATATATTTATTCTGTAATTTCAGTGATTATAAATTGTAAAGGTAATGTTTAATCATTGTATAGTGATTATGCGTCTGGTATAGCTTTCCTAATAAAAAGTTTTTGAAAAACATAATACATTATATATAGAAGATACAAAGCTTGAATTTAAACTTCAGCTATGCCATGCCTTTCGTATTCCCATTTAAAAATATTTATTTTACTTGCTATACAGAGAGCTAACTGATTAACAAGTCTGATGCACTGTGACATTGATAATCTTATTATACATTATCCATATCCCATATCAAGATTAAATTGGGGCTTGGATATGCTCATCTACAGTTCAGTTTTTTCATGGGTTACAAATTTCAAATTCAGTTTCCCTGTGAGGCGCTGTGCCATAGGTGGGGTATGATCAGGAGAAAACAAAGTGACTGGGATGAGGAAATAGAGGGTTATTCGGTGTAAGATCACTGAGCATCCTTGTGTTTCAAGGTAGGAGATGAAGGAACAGAGAAACGAAATAGCTCCCCGTTTAAATAAAAACGAGCACTAAAATTAGATCCATCAGTAGCTTAGGTAGCACCACCCTCTCCATGCACATGAGCAGTCCACGAAAAGCCGAGGATAAATGCAAATGGAGAATAGCTGTTAATCTGTGAAAGTTATATTTTTTGTGTTTGGACACTGCTTTTCCAATCACTAGCAGCAAATGAACCCAGAAATGCTTGAACTAAGACGTATGATACTGATTAAGTTTTCTTTCTCTGTATGGAATTAAAAAGATGTTTCAAAGTTAACTCTAAGAAACTTTAAGTTATGGTCCATCTACACATGAGCAAAACCAAAGAAAATTGAAATTTAGGATGCAAGATATGAGCGATAGAGGCAGTTAACCAGGCTGACCAGTAGAGGGCAGAAGAACTCCAGCGATCTCCAGACGCAGCCACTACTGAATTGTAAAGTGAAGCTAGAGTTCCTTCAAGCTGCCCCTTGAAATGATCATTACATGCTGAATGTAACTCATCACGAGTCGCTGAGGCCTTACATGACATCATTTTCCCACAAAAAAAGGATAAACCACCAATTTCTAAAGCTGTATGGTATATACATCAAGGCATTGTGTTAAATGGTGGGGGAGAACTGAATGTCTGGACCGTGTTTATGTAACTATTAAAACTACACACAACTATCAGTGTAGATGTGCATACAGATAAAATACACAAGTACGTAAATGTAAAAAATGCACTTTTCAGGGCTTCTTTGCATTTGATATATGGAATCTGTAACTTCTGTCCTCAAGTATTCCTTCTAATTTGGAGTTATTTCAGAAAGACCACAAAACTACTGTTTCTTTATGTAAAACATCAGAATGAAACTCTCCATACTCCGGAGAGTTGGGCCCCTCATAAAAGAGATGATGTGTTCGACAAGTCACCTTTGGGAGATAATTCACCTTTCAAACTCTTTCTGATCATCTTTCCCTGCTTAGTATTGTTTTTTTTTATTTTATTTTGTTTTGTTTTGTTTATAAGAAATAAAATGATAATACTGTTCTTACAGGCATCACAACCTGATTTGGGAAAAAATCTACAGTGACCATTAACACTGTAAACTACAGTTATTATTAACCTTCTGATTCTTCCTAATCAATCGTTTTGTTGAACAGAAGAAGTTAGAGAATAAAACCTAGATACTACAAATAGGGATAGCGCCTTCCTAGAAAACCATGTGTCCATACAGCACAGTCTCTTAAACATATCAGAACACTCACTGGTGCTTCTGGCATTTGGAAAACAAGTCTCCATAAACCTTATCGAGTTAAAATATAACTTGATAAATGTAATATTTATATTTTATTTATCAAATATTGAAATAAGACTGTCTTATCTTAAATTTCATCCTAGAATGAAAAACGGATTTATTTATTTAGTGAGAACAAATTTATATAAGAATGAAATTATGTATTTAAGAGGACAATATTTTGCTTTCATGGAGTTTGATATCCCCTGAATCAGCCACTTGTTTTACATTTGCGTTAAAACTAAGTTAATAAACTTTAGTTTATAACAACAGACATTATTTCCATCAAATTTCCTGAATATTAATATAATGATGGATTAGCAACTGTTTAATATTGCTCACTGGAGTAAATTATTTATTTTCTTTTTTTCTATACAAAATAGATAATGCCTTCAAATCAATGTTCTGCTACTGAGGTCAGCCAAGATCTAACAGATTTTTGCTTTTCCCCTTTACTATTTTTATTACAGGTTACAATACTAGTGTTTGGAAATAGTAGATGTACTGTGTTGTCCCTTCAACTCTGACATGGTTAGTGTAAAATGATTGCAGATGATCAGTAAAGTTCAGAATAGTTCTCAAATGTGACATGCCACTATACAGCATTACTTATGTAGATGTTTTCATATTTTGACTATAAAGATATTATTTCATCAAATTGCAAAGTTATTTAAAATAGGATGATGAATCCAATATTTTAAATAAAAGTTCAGAGATAAAATAACAAAAAAGTTTAATGACTGATTTGAAAACTTTCTTTTTTTTTAACTTGGAGATTTTAGTTCTAAAGTCTTATCATCTCAGGAGAACTTGTTTGTGTCTAGCGTTCTGAAAATCATACTGATGCTTCAGAGGGATGCTCTTCAGCATTGGGAGCTCAGAGATGGACTCACTCCGTGTAAAGCCAGTGTTTGCAGAATACATCCTTTGGCAGTTTCATTGTCCATATAAGTAAATTCAAGCTTCTTTGAAATGACCTTGAGGAAGGAAAAGCCCAAGAAATCCCTCACAAAATGTGGCATGCATGACCATAATGATCAAGGACACTTTGTGGGGAAATGATTATGTAAGGACTTCATAACTCAAGTGGCTGCATGTTACATTTGTACCTTACTCAGCTCAAATTCCTCAGCTATGTAATTTCAGGTGAACAGAACATAGCTTTAACTAATTCATTACAAACATGTTCTGTCTCATGTATTACAGGCCTTCAAGATAATCACAGCAATAACACATATAAATTGGGCAATTGTGTGTACAAAAATTACATAGCAATATTGCTAATTTTTTTTATTTGTCGAGACAAGGTTTCTTTGTGTAGCTTTGTAGATCAGGCTGGCCTTGAACTCACAGAGATTAAACTGCCTCTGCCTCCCTAGCCTAGTGCTGGGATTAAAGGTGTACATCACCACCACCCAGCTACATAGCACTATTCTGTGTGTATGTATGCTGTATACACATTTGTATAGTTTATATATGCAGAATTATATGTGAATTATGCCTTTTGCTACATGCGTAATGACTTCAGTTTTATGCACTCGTTTTTCTTTTTTTTTTTTTTTTTTTTTTTTTTTTTTTTCCCCCCCAGGTTAAGCTAGATGAAATGATAAGTTTTAACTTTGGGTATCTTCACATGTAGCAAAGTAAAGATGTAATCAAGATTTCAAGATTTCTGAATTTAAAAGTTTTGTTTTTAACCTCCCATTTTGTTTCATTTTGTTATTTGAAGCACAAGGGAAAGCTCTTGGTTAAAAGGATGATTCATTTTTAAAAAAATATTCACAGCAAAGGGACTTACTTCTTATCTGAATGTGACATAAGTCAAGTGAAATATACATGCTCCTTCTCCCATTTGTCTGCCTAGAATTAATTTTAGAGGTGTAAACAATTTTAGTAACCCTGTTAATTGCACTAGCTCTTTGTAAATTATCTAGTTATAAAGCAAGACTGAAATTCTGAAGTTATAATGCAAGAGAATTAAAAACCAGTTTATGATGCCTGGCGGTGGTGGCGCATGCCTTTAATCCCAGCACTTGGGAGGCAGAAGCAGGCAGATCTCTGTGAGTTCAAGACCAGCCTGGTCTATAAGAGCTAGTTCCCGGACAGCCTCCAAAGCCACAGAGAAACGACCCCCCTAAAAACAAAAATAAAATAAAATAGAAACAGTTTATGAAATACGTGTCTGCTTACTGTTTAAGGCAGCACTTACTATTACTACTGTTAAACTATTTAATAATAAATACAGTCACAGGAAGGGGCAGCCATTTTTATTATACCTTTCCATCCGTATCAGAGTTTTTACATCAGAGATTTGTATGAATAGAAGTCTCCCCTGGAACCCAGCTTTAGCTCATTTGTCATTTCTGATAATATTGGCTTCTGAGAACAATGTGCATACTTCTAAGAAACCGTATTCCATCGCACATGGCTATTCTAAGAGCTTTAACATGTTAATAGAAAGTAATATATGTAATATACTTCCCACATATATGGCCACATTATAAGAAGGGATGATTTGACCAAGCTCTCATCTTTATATAATATTAAATAATAAACATTACTTTAAAAAGGCTTCCTTCACCACCACTCAAGTTATGCTAAGGCCC